TTTCATCGATAATTATATAATATCTAGTAATCGAGTCGGGGTTGGCTAGGCTTAAACCAAGGCCCCCCAGTGTTCCCACTTTAGGGCATGGATTAGCCATCTTTTTTTTGAACAGCCATGGATTAGCCATCTAATCCGAGTGTGAAGGATGATATGCTATATTGTCTAATTATATTTCTTAACTAATTAATTAAAAATTTGATTAAATAAAAGTACGAAAGATACTTTAACTCTCTCATGGCAACCACATGGTTTGATATCGACACTTGGAAAATGTGTTCATGTGCTTTAAGCAGCCTTCATTGAGACTGGATTCATTGCACTATTGCGACAGAGAGACCACATAAATCGCTCTGATGGACAAAACCAAACAGATCCATATCTTGTCTCGACTTAAACCTGAGCCATACATCTCTCCTTTCAAAATTCAAATCCTCCTTAGCTCAAATCAAAGAAATTCTAATGAGACAATAATGGATACGTTATTCAATTTAACACATTTTATAACATATTTATTAAAAAAATTATTATTTTTAAATTTAAATTAAATATAAAAAATTTAAAAATTACAAATTTTAATAATTGAATCAATAAGTACCATGGAGTGTATTGAAACAAAAGATACACCAATTATTTTTAATTTTCATGCTTGATCTTGACCAATTTGCACACCTTGGGTAAAGTTGGAGTTTGGTCATTTGTGATTCAGACAGATACGAATATTTGGAGAAACAAATATCAAATTAATCATTTAAACAGCTAAAGGTTTGTGATTGATTGCTGATTAATTATCAACTGAAAATTTAAAACCGAAGCATAAAAGGATTATCTTTTTTTCCAAAATTGTTTCTCTAAGTTATTAAGTGTGATAGGTTGCTTTGCTGTGTCTTTTACTACATTTTCTTCAAAGGTACACGCAGATATTTTGACCTCTGTCTGTTGAAACGCAGCTTTCTCTGGTATTAATTCATTTTAACGACTTTGTATGTAGATTTATGCCACCATTTTCTTCAGTTGTTGATTCTTTAGAAACCCCATAACTTAATGGAATTTAATTTCAATTCTGTAATTAATTACCTTTTATTTTAGTATTTGAAAAAGATTAATAAACTGCTTAAACCCCCTCTACCTACAAAATTTAGCTAAGCCATTGCTTTATGTTACATAATTCAATACATCATTTTTCTTTAAATTAAGTATAGATTATTACATTTTCCACGCAAGATTGTGATGATACAAGAAGAATTAAAGCAAGTCGTCTAACAACCTATTGTTATGTGGGATTTAAGTATAGTTTGAAAAAGGAGATTATCTAACACACATTGCTACATATTTATCACGATTAACTTACACTTTGTTTGATAATACTTCTCACAGATATTTTTTAGGCAATATCTTATCTAAAAATATAAAGTTATAATTTTAATTAATTTTTCTATATATTTTTAATGATTTTAACTAATATTATATGTTTTTAAGCTAGTAAAAAACAAAAAAACCTACAAACATAGTGCAACATAGCACAGCGCTGAAGTTTCACTTTTAAACCATGGCAAAATCTAGAAGACTAGACACAAATTAATAGATAGTTAAAGGACAATTGGTATATTTTTCAATTCAACACATTTAGCAACATCAATTGGTTTATTTATTAAGAAACTAATACTTTTTAATTTAAATTCAAGATGAGAAAATTTTCAAAGGTAAATTTTAATGACTGAATCGATTAGTGTTATTAGGTGTGTTGAACCAGAGAGTGTATCAATTATTTTTTGACAATTAAATTAATATCTTGTGCCATTAATAATACCAAGAAGCTACATATAGATGTGGATGTGTCCATTTGCCTTGTTGTGTAAGTCATCGATCTGGACTTATTAATTAGGACTTAGCTAGGTCGATCTTTTGAAAAGTCCTTGGAACTATTGGTTAATTAAGATATGCACCCACCTTAATTAATTGTTTAATTCTGGATGCATGCGCATGTCATATCTTACGAAACTTTGAGGGAAGCAATGAACTAACGAATTCGATGGTTAATAATGTTATTTTATATCCTTCACATGATCATCGCCGTGACTAAACAAACATATGTATACTAACTTTTAATGATATTAATATATATCATCTAATGTTTGTTTAATGATATGAACCCAAAAATGTGGTTGGATATGAGTGTTGATTCTTCACGCAACTTGGATTTTCTTTTTTTTTTTTTTTTTTTCAATATATGGGGAGTTAGCTGTGAAGCATTGCACGTAGGGGTGTTTAAAATTTTTAACTTTAATATCGAATCAAAAATTTTAAATTAAATAATAAATACTAATTTAATTAAGTACTTATTTATTATGCAACTCAATAATACTTATAAATATCAAATTTCGAGCATGCTAGTGCCTACAATCTAGGCTTCTACAGATCAATCATATCGTTAGATAGGTAAATTTGTTACTTAATAATATATAATTTCAATGAAATTAAGTGATATTTAAGAATTAACTTTTGTGTACATATATGTAGCAGTTATGTTGTATTTTGAATTGATTTATATGTGCTAGACCAACTGAATTACTGTGTCAATCGATGTTCGCAATGCATGCTCGAATTCGAGCTTTCAGATTTATACATATTTGCAAAACCAAGGAGAAAACTCAAAATCAAAAACTTGTGATCATATGTGGGTTAATTATTGGAAACCGCTGGCTGCGTTCACTTTGCAGAAGGACCAAAATCGAGTCAGCTCTTTCTTGCTAAAGTGTGCTACAGACAAAGAGCATTAATACAAAAGTTGGCAAAGTTAGGTTCCAAAAATAATGAAATCAAATCTTTCTGCTGAGGACGGATAGCATTAAATTAATTTTATAAAATTTATTTTTCTCCCAAAGATCAGGAATCTGAGTTAATATGAAAGAGGTATTAATACTGATGTTTGTTTGGCACAGTTACTAATTGTTTCATTATCTGTTATGAAAAAAATAAAATTAATTTTAATTTTATTAATTATTTAATTAAAATTATATAAATGTATTTAATACAATTAATACACTCTTAATTTATATATTAAAAAAATCGTTATCCAAAGATGTTGAAGTTTAGTTTTGTCCCGGCTGGCCCCTGTCTGGAAAACATGGTGTCTTGATGTCTCTAAGTGGAATCTCAACAAGAACTTCGTGGTTTCGGGGTGTAAAGGATGATGTTTGGATTACTATTATTGGACATATAATTGTCCATAATTAAAACGGTGCCGAGAACGAGGGACAACCGTCCTGGCTGCATTGACTTTTGGTTTGTGCATGATTGTTGTTGAGGTATAGATTCTTTTTTTCTTTTCTTTATTTTTTTTTTCTGTTTATTTTAATCATATATAAGATTTATTGTTGTAATATGTACTTTTCACATAAAAAAAAAAAAACATTTGTCTAAGGCATAGAGTTTAGTTTTAGAGAATCAACTATTCAAATCTAATGGTTTATTTTTAAATTTTAATACTTGAATAGAGTTAATTGGGAGTTCGAGTTTTATTAATTATTTGAATATTTACGACTGATTTATGGGTTATTGTTGCTTTTTTGGCCCATAAGTTAGCCCATTTTCCTTTTCCTCCTGTAATTGCCTTGGTTAAAAAAATACATAAAGTTTAAATTTTTAAGGTTGAGGTATTGAATTAAAATTTTGGGATAAATAAAATTTTATTTAAGTAATTTAGTGATAATTAATATAATTTATTTTTCATTAGAAGTACATGAAGATTTATTAATGATATTTTTATCACTTTTTACTTAAAATTGATGTTTCCAAGTGTAATAATGGAAAAACTATACTCTTCCAAAGTTTGTGTTAATTTTTGTCTTGGAACCTTAAAAAAAAAAAACTCTTTGCCAAACGGGTCCTACTACACTAAATCGGATGGTTGGCCAAAAAAAAAAAACTCAATCGGATAAAGAGACATGTGAGGGAGGAAGATAGCGTTGACGTCACAGCGTGCGTAATGCAGATCTCTTATGTGGGACCCATTCCTATCCTCTTAATTTTCTGGGACTCACCTCAACCCGGACAGGCTTTAACTAAGAAAGGATAAAGTCGAAGTCTGACAATTTTGGGTCACATCTGGTCCTGGACAAGAAAAAAATGCTCAGGCCCACTTGTCATGGGCCTACAATGTAACAATTTGATTTTTCCAGTTTTCTAAATTGAACATTTTATTGGACCGGGCTTCTGTCTCAATCTCAACAAACCGCGATTCTGGATAACGTTCTACGCTCCAATCATTGAGTCGTTTGACTGGTTTCAAAAGAGTCCTCCACCTCGACTCCCCCGAAATCTCGGGAGTTACAGTGTCAGTAGAACTCCGCGTATAGATCTACGTTCCGCATTCCGGTTCCCCAAGCTCCTTTGTAAAAGGGAAGAAGAAGAAGCCTTCACATAATCTATAGCTCTTCAATGTTGCAAAAGGGATTGGCGCATGGCGACTCTGTTTCACCCACAAAACTTGCTCTCCCTCTCTGCGTCGTCTAAGCCATTCTTCTCCTCCGGCCAACACTACCGGCTAAGCTGGAGAACCCAACAATGTCCACCTACGAGGAACTTCAAACTCTGCGCTGCTTCGGTGAACAAACCCAGGTTTTATTTCTTGCACCCTTTTTCTCTTACCTGCTATTCTCTTCATGTTTGTTTGTCTGTTTTTTTAATAGCTTGGTTTTGCTGTATTAGGCGTAGTAGAAAGATAAAGAGTGACGAGGAACTGTGCAATGAAGTTCTGGCATTTACATCTATGGTTGGACTTCCAGAGGGTCATGTCCCAACTTTGAAGGAATTATCGAAGCATGGAAGGTTCTTGAAACTGTACTCTTATTGCCTTTTAGTTCGTTTCCGTTTTCAAATATTATGTTTTTGAGTCTTTCATATGATAGAGAGCTTAGATGGGAAAAACAGAAAAATGAAAAGGAAACAGATTGGGAGCAGCTTTAGAAATACGTGTTATGTTGATTTGTGTTTTTCAACCTTCTGTAGAAAGGATCTTGCTAACCTTGTTAGACGGAGAGGATATAAACTTATGAGAGAGCTTCTTGCTAGTTCAACAAGGGTGGACCTTGTTGTGTTCAATGGAGAAAAAAGTTTGGTGGAAAAGAGCTCATGCAATTCTGAAGAAATTTTAGCAGGTCGATCTCTGATCATTTTTATCATTTGTTGTTGACAATCCCTTGTAATTTAAAAGGTCAGAATGAAAAGGCAAGCAATGAAGTTCAAGATTTTCCCTTGTCAGCAGAAGATGTCGATGACAAAAATTCTACCCTTGGTGAGGACAGCTCTGATAACAATAATTCCATGAAGGAGAGCACTGTGTACGGTTTGGAAGTTCAGAGTGAGAAGGCACAGACTATGGTTGAAGACCTTTTTCCATCAACTAGTGGTTCCATTCAGGAGAACTGTTTGGGGAGTTTGATTGCCAGTTTAGATCTTGAATCTGATAACCACAGTTGCAAGCCTGCGGAATCTTTGTCTATTTCAACCTTGGAGAAAGAAGTGTCAGAGTTCATTCAGAATGGAGACCTGGATAAAATTGAAGGTAATATTTTGATAAACAATATTGTTAATTTGCTTTAGTAATGATTTTTGTGACAGAACAACTTCATATCCTATAGCTTAAGGAACTAAAGTTACAAACAAGTGATATAAACAAATATTGGCTTCTCAGAATTTGGTCCACCTGCTTCTGTCATTTTTAGAGTGTAAGATGGAAACACTTGGTTTGTGGACACTGGTTACAGAAGGGGTCTCATCCTATCATATTAACATCAATATAAGAGGCACTTCTTTCTTTTGTAATGTTACCGAACCTTCCAATAGTATTTAACCATTATTATAATGTCTGTTCCTCTTAGGTTCATGGTATTGTTGTTACAACATTTGCTCCTGTCTGAGCAAAGTAATGTATATCTCTATATTGAAATGGTTGAGCCTTTTCTATGGTGTCTTGGAAATCTGAAGTTAGTTTTTTGGATCTGCTTGATGCTCAGATAGTGTTTCTGGGGTGTTAAATGGAAGTGATGATGAAGAAAGCAAGGCAGTCACAAAAATGGAGGGAGAAGTAGCAATTCAATCAATGAACTTTGATCAAGATTGCTCAGAACATGCCAATAATGATGCTACAACATTGAATGGAAGTTCAGTGATTCCCGACCAGGTTGATCCTGTAATAGTAAAGCATCCTTCATGGGGGTTAGTATGAGCACTGGCTTGTCCATTGACATTAAACTTACTGTTAGAATCAGAGGTACCTTTTGAATGCAACTGTGACTAGTTTATGCCATTATTTACCCATAAACTTTATTGCTCCACCGCTTAGATGGTTTTCTGTATTGTTTTTTTCTCCATGAAAAAATTCAACATGTAGTTGAATATTAGCATGTAATGTTTGTAGAGATGTTTGGGATGGCTTTATTTTCTTTTCATTTGAAGCCTTAATACTCCATTTTATAGTCAGAATATGGAGGTATGGAAGAAATTTAGAGGTTTCTCTCTTGTCCTATTTGTATACTTCTATTCTAAAAATTTGAAAGTTTCTTTATTGTTTTTTCAGACTTAGGACCTTGTCAATTAGAAGTGGGTTATAAATTTTTTACTCAAATTTAGTCAACTAAAGTAAATCTGGATCACTATCTAGTTTCAATTCAAAATGGATGATCAGTGAGTTGTGAATGTTTTGGAATTTAACTTATTTGCAGGGTTGACACTCAGGAATCTGAACAGCTAAAAGGTTATGATGTGGAGGATTTGAATCTGGAGGTCATTGAACATGCCTTACTATTCTAATTTAGTTGACCTGAGTGCTAGATTTGACATTAACTATTGGTTCTTTTTCATCCATGGTACAGTCAATCGGAAGTGAAGATGGTGAAATTGAGATTGATCATCTCAGATTTATGCTGGTAAATTTTTTGACATATTTTGCCTTGCACTAGTCTCGCTGCTTCACCAAATAGGAAGTCATTTGTGTGCTGTCACATAGACTAACCCTGCAGGAATTTTTTTTGTATCCCATTGTGCGCTTAGCAACAAAAGAAGATGGAAATGTCCAGTTTGAAGGAACAGATTGAAATGGAAAAGGTATGTGAAGTATGTATCTTTTGTAGTGAAGCCCTGAGTAGATATTATGTGAAAAGGCTAACCATCCATTACATGCAAATTGCTAGATTTTGGAAAATTAGTTCTCACTTTATGTATGCATGCACTGCCAATCTTTTCAAGACTTTCATAAACTTGTATCTCAATGAACATATAATGACTTTAAAGCAAGGACTTGAAAGTTAGATAATCAGAAATTGAGTTTCTGCACAATTCATAAGTTGTCAAACTTAACTACCACTGCTAAGTCACTTTCACTTCTCTACCAGATTGCTTTGTCTTCCTTGCAAACCAAGGCTGAAACAAAAATCAAGAAAGCTCAAGAATTCGTCTTTCAGAAAGATTCTGAGTTACAAGCTGCAGAGGAGAGCCTTTCAGGACTAGAAGAGGTGTTCAATCTTGTATCTTTGTTGGTTAATTTTTATATGCATCTAAGAACATCTAAGAACCTAGGGTTTTAGCCATGCTTGGCTGTATGTTGTGATATTTTACAGATTTTGTTGCATGTGGGTATTATCAACTGGATTTGAAGATTTATTTAGTTTAGGAATCAACCATCTGAGTTGCTGCTTTATTTACTAGTAAATATGTTAAAGACATTGGTAATACTCACTTAAATGAGCTGATTCAAACCTGGTCTAGGATTATCTAATTTCCACAATTTTTGGGAGTCCCCATCTGATGCTTCCAACCAATATATATGCTAAAAGCAGTTTTTTTTTTTTTTTTCATCCTTATTATCATTCCTATATCTCTTTGTGTCCATTTATTATTTCTGTGCCATTTTTTCGATTCTTTTTATTAATCAGACTGGGCTGAATTTCTGGACTTCTGTATTAGGTCCAAATTGAATACTCTGGGGAAGGTGAAATTGTGGAGGTCACAGGTAGCTTCAATGGTTGGCATCATCGGATTAAAATGGATCCTCAAGCATCTTCTGGTGTCATAGACCCTGTCGGGTCAAGGTGGTTATTCTTATTGCTTTTGTAAAACCCAGTATCTCTATAATCTCACATTAGTCTTCAGATTAATTTTTAATATCTTGGATGACCGTTTTCTATTAATCTCAGTGAAGGTACTTAACTTGTTCTATTGCAGTAGTAAGTCATTTTGGCTAATGTTCTTCTGCTCCCTTCTTTTACTGAAACAACATAGTTGTATCAAAGACTTTATTCTACTGTAATCTATGGTTGCTTCTTTTGCTTGTGGCCTGAAACAGGCTGTCTATTTTTGGCTTTTTAAGATCGAGGGAACTCTAGCAAATGTAGTCTGTTGTACAATGTCAGTACATTTGTTGTTCCAAAGTATATAGACAATGGTTATTGACACCAATTTGTCCTAGATTTTTTTTTAAAAAATTATCCTGGATTTTTGGGTTTTGTAACTGAGAATCCACATTTTCTTTCTAATTCCAACTTATACTAGATTGATTTTTGGAGTTTCTATCCATAATGTTAGAACTAAATAAATGCCCATATCATCTGTTTTCTGAACTGTTTTGGATATATTTTTGTTGTTTATTGGTGAATGATATTTCGCTTTGACATTTATAAATCTAATACTTTTTATGGTTATAAAACCTCACTTTGTCCTATGAATGGTTGTTCAAGAATTGGTAAAGAATTACTGACCCTACCATGTTGACATGTTTTATAGGAAATCCAAAATGTGGTCGACAGTTCTGTGGCTTTATCCTGGGACGTATGAGGTTTGAACTATGATCTAATAATGCAGCAACCTTTTATCTTTTCATCTTAACTGAAATAACTAGTCAGGCTGTGGACATCTGAAACCAACATATGTTGGTTTTTAGTTGACTGGTATCATCTGAAACCAACATTTTCCAAAGATATTTACTTTGATGATGTTGTTTACTTCTAAATTCACATTGTGCCCACTTTAGAAGTGATGTTAGTTGAAAAATGAGTCCTCAATTATCTGAAAACATGGAAGACGGTTAATACTGAGACATACTCTCTCAGTTACTTGTTCTTCACTTGGTATCCAAGATTAAATTGTTTATAATGTTTAGTTCTGTTCCCCCATTCTGAAATAGTAAACTAAATGGCAGATTGTGCCATACTTTGATGCCAGCAACTAGAATCAATATTAGGAGATACTGCAATGATATAGGAAAGGTCCCTAAAAATGTAGTTTAGAGAAAATGGCTAAAACTCGTTTACTGACGATGATCCAAGCAGACCTTCGAAAGGTGAGACAAGTACAAGCAACGACGAGTTTGAATTGTAGACATCTATTCTAAATCTTATGATCTTTCTAAAGATCTAGTTCCATGTGTTTATTAAATGATGAAGTTTTTATGAGTTGTTTCCCATCATTTAACACATTTTCAAATTGCAGATAAAGTTCATTGTTGATGGTCAATGGACTGCTGATCCTCAAAGGGAGTCAGTCAACAACGGTGGCATATGTAACAACATTCTGCGAGTTGATACATAGTTTTGGCTCCTGGAGGAGATTCTCTATATTCTGTGTATAGACAAGGTTAGTTGATTATTTGCTGAAACTTCTGCTAAATACTAACTCTTAAACCTTTCAACCATGGTGAAAACAGAAAACTTCTTTGGATAAAAAAAGTCTCGATCATCGCCTCCACGTCAAGGGTGAAGTTTGATAAAATGTGTTTCAAAAGCAGTGTTTGTTTTGAACTAGCCATCTTAAATTGTTGTGCCATTTTCTTTTTGTCGTAATAATGCCTTATTCAATCATTGTTACATCCTATTGTTATGTACTACAGAAATGCAGGACATTCAATTTATTTATTATAGCTATGGTTGTGGTTTTGTTTTTCAGTATACATACAGAACAGATTTGCTTCAATTTCAATGCACAATGCTTGTACATGGAACAAACAAGCCAAATGCCTATATGTAGGGAGGAGACTCGTGACATGAATGATACTCGGAGGGGATGAATGATCAAATGAAGGGACGGAGAAGTAGAAGGAAAGGGAAGATGGAACTGACTAGAAACCATACCCTTAGAGAAACTAAAAAAGTCTAAACGAAGGGAAATAATTTTTGAATTGAGGAGAAAATTGTGTTTTGAGTCTTTTGACTTTTTTTAATTTGAGTTAATTAGATATGAAACTCTGGATTTTTAGGAAGTTTTGACATATCAAGATGTTCATCAAATCGTATATTACGTCGGCCCTAAATTGGGATCCATATGTGATTGACGATTTGATGGATATACAAGTATGCTAAGGAGTTCTGATTTTTTGTTTTTGCATTAGATATTAATGTTTTAATTTTTTTTTATTTTAAATCATTACCACTAATTTAGGTTGTACTCATCTTTTGAGTAACTGTTTACATGTAGGTAACAATTAATAATTAATATTATATTATTAATAATAATTATTTTTTATTATTTAAAATATTTAACCTATTTAATTAGGATCAATTAATTGTTTATAAAATATTAAAACAAAACACTCTTTATGTCCAATAATTTAATTTGACCC